AAGATACTGTATCCTGGGAAGCACTCAGCTTGCCAGCAAGGACGAACATTTGGTTAGCTAGAATGCTCTTCGTCTGCAGTGCGTCTTCATTTCCAGTGCCGTCTTCAGATGCTTGATCTTCGGCCATACTCAAAGGTTGGCTTTCTCCATCGCTGTGACTCTCTTCATCAACATCACTCATTGTCAACTGGTTTTCAACAAACTCATCAAAAGCCACAACAATTTCAGATGGACAATCCCTGATACGATGCCAAAGACATCTCCACTGCCATTCGAAGAGAGCTTGCAAAACTGTGGGTCTGTTTTTACCGCCACCTCTCAAAGTGTGTTGATAAAAATATGTCATGTTCAAGTAATGCCGGTGCTCACCGGCTTCTGTCGCTAGCCTCATCATGGAATGAAAAGGGAAATTCTCCAACAGTATTGGCACGACGTCGATGAGTTTCATCATGTACGGAGTTAGGTTACTGGGACCATACGTGAAGCACATCAAACGGTGGAATATGTCTGCGTGGTTTCGATAGGATACAATATCGTTTGCAGAAAGACCGAATGTGAAGTTGTCTTCATTCTTGTTGTGCAGATCATCGTGGGGTGCTGTCAGAGTAACGGGGTCTATTGTAAGTAATTTATACATCTCCCATAAGTGAAGATGGGTCATCTGAATTAGGCTTTTGTGTGTGACCGTTTGCTGGTTCAGGCCAAGAAGAGCCACGATGTCTTGTGGAAGTGGTTGGATATACTCGACGTCGGGAAGGACATTATCCAGAATATCCGAATAATGTATTTCACCCCCAAACTCCGATGGGGGTGCTAGGATGACTTCCGCACTTGTGGTATTTAAGGTAAAATCCCGTATGTCTCCGTTGTCATCAAACTGAAGGGTAAATACACCCTCTTTGCCACGGTGGACGTCACGTTCGGCAATGTTGGAAATTAGATTACGCAGAGCAAGTACCCTTTGCCGCTTACCTTCTCTGGCAGACGCATGCGATGCGATATCTGAAATGCTGTGTACGAGAAGTTTTATGAGCTTCTCGACAATTCGCGATATTGCATGATTTGGGTCGACAGCGACGTGGTCCGTATCAATGGGCAGAAGTCTGTCTTCGTGTGTGCGATCCAGTGAGAGTCTTAAGTCTGATCGTCTTCCTGTCAACAGATCGAATTTCCCTTTGTCTGCTGTATTCATGAACATGAAAAGATTCCATCCGTCTGATGTGGTTGGACCAAGTTTACCCCCAAACACCGCATCACAAAACATTGAATCGGCCGAAAGGTACACACCGTGTCCCATTGACTTCATTGACTCCACAAACTCCCCAAGCCGTCCTCCTTGCTCACCCAGATTCGCCTCCAGATTGGGCCGTGTATCTTTAAGAAAAAAAAGGTTGGTCATCCATACCTCTTTTGGACTATGAAGTTTCACACCATTTAGAACCTGCGAGTTGTTGATGCAAGTGAGGCCTATCAGACAGGTTTGCTCCCTTCCTAACTTGCTAGCATCACCAAAGAGCCGCCACCACTCTTCTTGACCAAGCCAGTGGTACAGATATAGAAGGCATTGCCTGAGTTGCCAAGGGTCGATGGACATTCCTGTTGCCGTCTTTTGAGGATTTAGCACTTTCATTTTAGAATTAATCGTTGCTTTTAGCCGTCTCGTTTCCCTTTCTGGGGCAAAAAATCCAGGCATACTTCTTCGTAAATGACTAAAGATTTCTTCAGTGCTCATGGTGTCCGTCATGAGTAGTATCTTTTCAGCTGCCACATAGAAACGGCGCGAGGCGTGAACATTTACCAGTTCTTCGTATAAGCTTGAATTAGTACCATTCGATTTCACTTTAATGTTTTTTAAAATATCAATGACATCATCTGTGTACAGTTTGCCGTTCCAATGTTGGTCTGCGCCCTCAAGCCTTTGTGTACCTTCCTTTACGCTCATCGCCAATGCCAAACTAAAGTCTTCCTTCCCCCCATTGTGCACCTTTGCCGCTATGTTAGCAATTTCCTTTTCTTGTGCGTAGACTCGTTTTCTAAGAGTTCTGAAAGCCTTTGCCCGCCCATGTTCTTGAGATCGGGCTTCTGCACGAGCTTTGAGTGTCACGGAGGATAGAGTACGCCTCCCGGTGCGATTCTGCCCGTTTTGCTCGGGCTGACCAGCTTCTTCTTCGTTTATTTCTACCTCATTGTCTTGAAGTTCATTATTATGACCTATGTCCTCATCATCTTCATCACTCACTTCAACTCTGACCGCACGTTCGCCATCGACCCCATCATCAACGGGAGGGAATCCTCCTATCAGAGACTGAACACACTGCCCTCTTAGCCACGCAATTTGTCTAACAATTTGTGCCTTTCCCTCTTCGTTCACAACACCCTCGCGATCTTGAAGTGGAGCTCCACCAAACAGAAGGGCAAGAAATGCCTCAATGGACAAAGCTTTCCTGTAATTGCCAGATTTGATAATATGGTTCTGTACATTAAGGTCTTGTTTAGCCAGAAACTTTTCGAACGGACCCCAACCCTTGTTTTTTCTTCGGTTATCTTGTCCCAGATAACGAAGAGCTTTCTTGGAGTCAATAAAAACTGTATCATTGACTCTGTAAGCCCCGAAGTTCTCTTGCCAGAAGGGAAACGACAGCATGTTAGAACATCGTTTTCTTGTGTCGTCTACGTGTACATGTACACTATTTATTACACACGCAGTAGACCTCTACATAATTTGGGAAGTATGACCTGCAGAAAGCTTTCCCAGACGGATAAATTATTACAACGTGTACATGTACTGTACTGTACTACTGTGTACATGTATATCAATGGAGCTGTTCGGTGAAATAGCACATGCCCAACCACCAACTGCTTGTATAAAGCGTGGAAGGTCAATCAGTGGTAAATCACGAAACAACATGCCGTCGTAAAAACCCTGTGGTAAAGCTCCCCCCGCTGTGCATGTGCACTCTTATTGGCTACGTTCTGGCAGTACACAAGCCATGGGCGCTGTTTCCTTATTGGTCCATTCTGGTTTGTACACGGACCATCGCTACCGATGGTCCGTGCACAATCAATTTAATGTCGCTTCTATCGAGAGTGTCCGAGTAATGCAACATCCCTGGGATTTATGAAACACAAATGAAATTATTGTCTGGTCCTTAATCTTTCAATTTCTTTTCAATTTTTTTGTGAGATAACCAATTAAATTTTTAATTATTCCCACAAAACAAAATCACCCCCCCCCCGAAAAGTGATTTTTCCAAAGTCTGGTTGCAGCCATTTTTCAAGTGGCAACTCTCACTCACTTTCTGGGGCACTTAGGGCCATTTTTCAACCGTAGTTTGTAGCCATTCTGCTCTCATGTGAAAGCTCATAGACCCAGGGGAGTTGATCCTGGCAACGATTTACACAATCTCATCATTTGGGGGGCCAAACAATCTCCTTTTCAAAAGATGCATTGGGGGCACTTTTATTGCTAATGAATGGCCAGAAATTCTGACTGGAATTAGTGGACTGCACCTCAAAGGTGGCTCACCTAGAGATCCGTAGATTTTGTTTTGAGTGCGCCGAAAATTTACACTGGTGTCTGATATTTGCATGTCCCAACTGCATGGTCGGGGTACCAGTGTTCAACTGCACGCATTGCGCTAGCACTGTATGCCACGTTGTCTTAGTGCTTGGCACTTCGCGGCTGCGAGAATGAGAGGTTGAGCCAAATACCACAGAATAGAATTAATGTGTCTGCGTTAAGGAGTAAGTTAGCGTACCCGGTGCAGGAGGCTTTCGAGAATATTGGGATTTTACGAATTCTCAGTATGGGTACACACTGGCTGTGTCTTGTCATTTTGGCGGCTTTTGCGGCCATGTTAGATGCCACCGAGTTGACGTTTGAACTACCGGATAATGCGAAACAGTGTTTCTACGAGGAGGTGG